CATCTTCTGCTGCTTCTTTATCCGGCTCAAGGTAAAACACAGCAGGAATGCCAATGCAGGCTATAGACAGTATCATTAACCTGGACAATGGAAGTCTACAGTATATAATGTCCTCATTAAGATAGTGAAACAAACCTGTGTGTGTGTGTGTGTTTAGTGTGCTGTGATGAAGTCCAGGCTGAAGAGCGTCTGCTGAACTCTCTGCTCTCAGCATACAGTAAACTGACCCGTCCGGTTCACAGTGTCTCTGATGTGGTTCACGTTCACTTCGGTCTGTCCATCGCTCAGCTCATCGACGTGGTATAATCCGCAAACACCTTCTGAAGAGATTGCAAATCCCAACACCATCATTTATTACAGCCTAGGCTCAGTGTAAATAAATGCCTGAGCCTGCATTATTGCAGAACATTAAAGACGCTACTTGGGGTGTGTTGCATGACACGTTTCAGATGACAAATCCAGTAGAGGGCGCTGTCTACATTTTTGCAAATCTGATATACGTGTATTTTGTTGCATAGCTTTAAGTATGTTTTTGAGAATTTTCAAAACGTTAGACAAAGGTAGACTAATGGTACAGCATGTTTAACAGATTACCAAACCAACCGTTATTGTGATAAACTATAAAACTCTATCTTATATCTTCACCAGGATGAGAAAAATCAAATGATGACCACTAATGTGTGGGTGAAGCAGGTGAGTGTTAAACTCTGCGGACCCGGTCCGTGACGTCATCGACTTTCGCTTTCAGATTTATAGGGCTAGCGTTGCACCAGGCCCCCGTAAGTGGTGTCGTTAGAAAGTGTAGAATCGATATTTTATGCACATATGCATCACTTTGGTTTTTATTCTACTGTATAAAAGTTATTTACACTTAAATACACAGTATTTTGGATAGCCGAGCTAGGTATTTTACATTGGTTCATTTTCATATTTTTCATATGACACATGTACAAGTTATAGCTCAAATGAAAGCTCTTGCCGGTGCTCATACAGTTCTAGCATTCTTTTTACTGAATTATATTCACAAATCAAACTGTTGTTGAATGAATTGTGGTGTTTCCGTGGCGCAGAAGTGAAAACAATACATTTATGATCAATAAGCAGCCCCAGATAGCACAGACAGCTGTCATCTCTTACCTTATGCTGTGCGCTTCAGGGCCATTTCTCCTCTGTTTTTGAGGTGATGTGCATAAGTAATCCTTTCATATGTCTGATGTGGTCCAAACACAGTGAATTATGTTTGATCAAACAAAAGAATAGTGAAATATGAAAATGATCGCTCCCTGTGGCTTGTACAGCACCTCTCATCAGTTGGAATACAATAACTTTTGCATAGATTATGGTGGAGACTTTTCCTATGATTACAGACATGTGCAGTAACCACCAACATTAATTACAGCACGCTAGACCACACAGAACCTAAAAGGTGCACTTTCAAATTTGAGTTTATAAAAAAATACAAAAAGCGCCTCTTTTTTTTAGGTGTTTATTATAACACAGACTACATATACTGATATTTTAAACACTTTCAATAGTGTTTTATGAAAAATCAAAGGGGTTTCTTTAAAATGATACCAATTTTTTGCATTTACACCTCTGCATGTGGATTTGGGAAGCTTTTAACTTTGGGTATAGGCAAAATCCAGGCGGAAATCCCCAAATAGCAGCAGAGTTTAACTGGTTAAATTAAACTACATGCATGAAGAAAAAATACTATGGTAATTTATAGCAAATTCTGTAGTGTTTTTTCAACTATACTATAGTAAAATATGGTGCTCCAACGGAAAAAGATGGCTTGCCATCTCCAGGTTGGAGGAAAGTTCTTACCCCAAGTGGAGAAGTTCAAGTATCTCAGGGTTTTGTTCATGAGTGAGGGAAGGATGGAGCGTGAGATTGACCGGCGGATTGGTGCAGCGGCAGCAGTAATGCGGTCGATGTACCGGTTCATTGTGGTAATGAAGGAGCTTGAAAGGCAAAGCTTTTGATTTACTAGTTAATCTAAGTTCCTGCTCTCACCTATGGTCATGAGCTTTGGGTCAAGACCAAAAGGACAAGATCTCAGATACAAGCGGCCGAAATGAGTATCCTTCGTATGCTCACAGGGCGCACTTTTATAGACAGGGTGAGGAGCTCTGACACCCGGGAGGAGCTCGGAGTAGAGCCACTGCTCCTCCACATCGAGAGAAGTCAGCTGAGGTGGCTCAGGCATCTGTTTCGGATGACTCCATTACGCCTACCTAGGGAGGTGTTCCAGGCATGTTCCACTGGGAGGAGGTCTTGAGGAAAACCCAGGACACCCTGGAGGGACTATGTCTCTCGGCTGGCCTGGAAACGCCTCAGGATCCCTCAGAGGAGCTGTAGGAAGTGTCTGGGGAGAGGGAAGTCTGGGGTTTTCTCCTAAGACTGCTGCCCCCGCGACCCAGCCCCGGAAAAACTGTAGAAAATGAATGAATGAATGAATATCATAATTTATCAGTTCAACATTTAATATAACAGTATGCTGAAGCATTCAGTAATAAACTGTTGTAAATATATACCCTATAGTACAATACACCATAGTATGGTACAAAAAAGGGTATAAATTACTATAGTTTTTTTTTTGTGAATGTTTTTTGATTGTTTTCTCTGATCAGGAATGGCTTGATTACCGCCTCCGCTGGACACCAGGGCCCGGTTTTTCAAAAGAAATCCACTAGGATTTTGGATAAGGGATTGGATCTAATCTTGAAAATGGGTTTTTCAAAAGAAAAAATGGATTACATAATCGGATTAGATCACGTAATCCAATTTTGGTTTTTATCCGGATCAAACCTTTGATTTGGGTTTTTCAGACCTTTTTTGTAGGATTTGGATCACGTTGATCCAAAAAACCTAGATTAAACTGATCTTATCAGAAGGGTGGATTTAGCGTGGATTTCATGCCCAAAATGTAATGAAAACTTTAAAAAAATATTAAATACTAATATCTATGGATCATACAGTATCTTACGAGATATACTATTTATTCATAAGGTTTTCATTTTATTTGTTCATCCGTCAGGCTATAGTGAGTATAGGCTTTAACGTATTCAGCCTTTCAGTATAGGCCTACAGCAAAGTAGAAAGAGTTTGGCCTCATAAAATAATCCCCCAAACAGCTGTCAAAACTGACCAAAAACAATCAATTTTATTCTGTCACTAATTGATATATATATATATATATATATATTCATCACAATGAAAAATATTTTTCTTTTTAGAATATTTATTAGTGATGCATGCAATGATTACAGAATAATAATAAAAAAATGCAAAAATGGCAATGACTGATTTTTGAAATCTCTTTCAACAATTGCAAAAAGAGACTGAAAGGGCAGAAGCACAGCTTCATCTGGCAGAGGAACAACTGACTCTAACCAAACTGCAGCAAACCAAGGCCAATGACTTGAGATCTGCCTCCTAAAGTCTGCGCTCAGTCAAGCTGCTCTCTCCACATCAGATGAGGAAGTCATTGAGTTTATTGAGATTATTGTGGAGTTTTTGACATTAAGTCTTTTTTTATTTACATCTAAATTTGAAACTTATTATAAATATCCTCAATGTACAGTGTTGTAGGTCTCAAATGAGCGGACTGCTTAAAGAGAATGGGGTTTTTGAGGAGAATGTTTTTCTTGTTTTTATTATTTATTATTATTTTAATAATTATTCAATTTTCTTAGTTTTCATTTCAAATAGAAATAAAGTTATATTGACCCCACGCTGGCTATTCTACTCTTTACATATCTATAGTTCTACATTGTGATGTCCTCTCCTGTTTGAGCACTGGTTATCCAGATTTAGTGATCCTGAAAAGTTCCTATCCAGGGGTCTGTTCTTCGTACGTGGATTACTCAGTTAGCTGGATTTGGATATAGACGATTTGACATGATCCGGGATCTTTTCGTTCTTCAAAGCTGATCCGAGAGTTGTTGTCATAGCAACAGTTCTGCTAGCTTAAAGCTGATCGGGAGCAGGTTCAATTCATATAAACAGGATTAGAACGGCTCAGTTCAAGCAAAGATAATACAGAAGGTATGTACCGAATTCTGATATTTTATTACAGTAGTAGTTATATACACTTGGGAAAATGGTACATATTTTTAACTATATATATATAAAGTTATAGTCATTAATAAAATAAATAAAGTTATACATATTAATAAAACGTATGCAATCTGCACCCTCGAAATGAAACTACAAAGACTGCCACCGGGTGGTGCAAAGAGAAAACTTATTGATATGAACTTTTTAGATCGCTTTAGTACAAATTGTGTATAAAATGCACAATATGTGACTTTTTTTAAAGCAATAATACATTAATGCAGTCATAAACATGTTTTGATAGTTAATATGACAGTGATTTGATGCTTCACAAAAGATGCAGACACCTTTACCAATATGAAAATGCTTTTGGAAACAACCAGTTATTCTTTACACCGATTAAAAAACGGCTACTATTATAAAGAAAATCTTATCTAAATATAGAACTAAATACATTGATTTGCATTGAAATAGATGATGAATACACTTGACACATGAAAATGTAAAGCCTGCAGCTCACAACAAAGGTGGAAAGTTATTGCGCGTCATATTTAACAAGCCGTTTACTGCTCATTTGATGTTATTTTGCTCACATGGATAATTGAATATTAATCAGATGATGTCATTACGCTGCTGTGCCGTCAGCCAATCATGGCATTGCTGATCATGATTTCGAGGATCGATAGATCTGTCCTTCACAACACACGCAGCGATCTCAGATCAGTTTATCCAGACATTCTAATCTGATTCGCGAACTTGTTTGAAGAACCAAATTAGCCAGAGATCAGTTATCAAGATTAAAAGATCCAGGATCTGCCAAATCATCTTAGATCATATAAGCGAGGTACGAAGAACAGACCCCAGATCAGATTGATCCAATCCGATGTTGCTTTGAAAAACTGGCTCAAAAAGTAAGCTGGATTACGTGATCACGGATCGCAAAAGCAGGATTACTAAATCCAGATCAATTTTAAACCTTTTGAAAAACCGGGCCCAGAGGATAATGGGAATGTTTCGTCAATGAGGATCCCAGCGCAGTTTATCTGGAAGCCTGATATCGTGCTGTACAACAAGTATGTAAAAATGTGACATTACAAGAATGTGAACGCACACACACATACACACACACACACACACACTCACACACACACACACACTCACACACACACAGGAGTAGATTTAACCAATAAACGAGGTAAGCGCCCACTTAGAACCTCAAAATACTGAATCCACAACTTCTGGTTACAGCTGTGCAGAGACACAGACTCCGCCAGGGGGCGCCACAGCTGCTTTTTCTTATTATGTATCCATACAGTATGATGTCTTTAAACATAAATCCTGTGGGTTGAAGATTTGACAGAAATTGCATATTAAATGAGATTCTTGTTTTGAAATATTGTATTTATGCATCATAAATCACATTCTTGTATATTATGTTCAACTGTGCTTTAGTCTTGTGAGCGGGGTTAATTTGAAAGCAGACTGCGTTTATGATTCTACAATGATTAAATAAACATTTATATTAAATCAGTGGTTCTCAAACTGTGGGACGTGTATCACTGGTGGTACGCGGGCTTACTTCTAGTGGTACGTGGAGGAATCACTGAGTAATGAAGGAAAAAATGAATACAACTTTGATCAGTTGATGTGTACGATAACACCAATGTAGTGATCAACATTGGCTGTTCTGTAAAGCCTACGGTTAAAGCAATGTGTTTAAAATGTTTACTTTAGTGCATCGCGTCATCAGCTGCATAAAATCAATAGAACTAGAGAAAGAGGTGCGTGGTGCTTCCAGTGGAGATCCGTGCTAGACCAGAAGTCCCCTATACCCTCGGGCCACAGACCAGCACCAGTCTATGGATCAATTGGTACCGGCCCGCACAAAAAATCATTAATTCCGTTTTATTTATAATCTGAATAATTTAACCATTTATTTTGAAAAGTGACCTTATTCTATTGTTACATCTTGGTCACTTGAGTGCCAAAATTTAACCCACAGGCTAGCAAAATGAGTACTGCAGCATGACACGCTTGTGTATTCCAGCTGTCCCCAGCTGAAAACATCTTAACATTTCAGAATGCCGCACCGCGAGTCACATGACAAGAACCGACTGCTTCATATTTTGTATGGAAAATAATTTTGATGAATGACAATTATTCTGCCTCTTTTTCGAACGACGCTACTTTATTTCAATGCTGGTTATTATGGTGGTACTTGAAGAGACAATGTTTTTCTGAGGTGGTACTTGGTGAAAACAGTTTGAGAACCACTGTGTTAGATTACTCTATTGGAAAATAGCCAAATAGAACAGCTAACAGCTATCATAAACCTGGCGCAATGTGGCGCAAGGCGCGACGCAATTGTTGTTTGCTAGTTTCAGCTTGGCGCAGGAGTCAATTTGACGTTTTGCGCCACGCTGTTTAAATAGCAAATGCATTTGCACTCATATGTGCGCTCACAGGCGTTCTGGCCTAAAAAGGAAGGCGTTCTGAGGTGCATTATATAAACTATAATAGAGTTTTCAACAGACCAGAACAAAGCCGGTCTATTGTCCATCACAGAGCGCGTTAGTTTTGGCCTCACTTACACATTACTTAATACACACAAGATGTAGAGCAATACGCAAATATCTTTACATATGAAAAAGAATTAAAATATTAAGGATATATATAGGATATAATAAGAATAGATATAGAATATAAATATAAAGGATTAAAATATTACAAAACATATTATTTTCTAGCCTACATAAATATAAACACCACTGCCTTCATGCCTTCTTCATCTCGGGAGGCTTTTTCAGTTCATTCATAACAATTTGCTTTTGTATAATGTTATCATTATTAGCAGTATTATTTATTTTATATATATATATATATATTTTTTTTTTTTTTTTTTTTTTTTTTTTTTTAAGCAAGCTTAGATTTGCCCACCTGTCAGGTTTTAGACCATATGGGGCACAGCATGTGTATTTGGATATAACTCAGGTTTTTGAGCACACTTTGTTATTATTGTTCATTTATTCGTTTGCTGGAAATTAGAACTGAATTTAGAAATAGTTTTGAAACGAATCTTTGCGCTTAACAAACAAAATTGATTAATTATAGGCTAATTGATGTCTGTGGATACAAGGTTTCCCTATCCACGAGAGCGAAAGTGAAAAAGGATAATGAGAAGACTTATCTCTCATTCTCGCCTGCAGATGCTCTGTTTAACTGTGTTCTTGCTAGTGAAGTGTTCAGTTTTTCCACTTACAAAGTCCACCATGTAAATAGCTAATGCGCTTATGGCGCGACGCAGCTGGGTCTTAAAGGGAATGGGAGATGAGACTCTGATTGTTTTATTCTCAAAACACACCTATAACTCATTAAGAAAATAAGCTCAACCCTTTTAGACCATGCACCACAGCTCAAAGCGGATTTTTCCATATTTATATTAGCAAAAGTGGAATCTGACACACCCTGAATGCGTTTGCGCCCTGCGCTCTGCACTCTGCGCATGGTTTTCAAAATAGAGCCCATACAATATATCTGATCTAAATTTTTTGTAAAACAATAGCTTTGTGTTGAGGCAATCGTGTGAGAAGCATCTTTCTCCACTGATTCAGGGTGCTGCAAATCATTAAAAATACTTTAATGTTTTCAAGGTTTTGAAAGTGCTTAGATTTTGAATAAAGGGCTATACTGTAGAATATATCAAATAGCATCTGACATAATGTGAAGTTATGTAAGTGTGTAACTTGCCACACTTGTAAAGTGCTAGAAAGTTTTGAAGATGAATCTGAAAAGTGCTTGAAATGTACTTAAATTTGATTATGTAAGAACCTTTTAAGAAGCTCTGTACACTTATAAAACAATTTATTTGCCTCAAAATGTTATTTCACACAATCAGAAGTAAGACTAAAGAGCAACACTGTGTTTCTGCAGTGCAGATGGTGATTTCACAGTGACGCACCTGACTAAAGCTCACCTTTTACATGACGGAAGAGTAACCTGGATCCCTCCGGCCATCTATAAAAGCTCCTGCAGCATCGATGTCACCTTCCTCCCCTTCGACCAGCAGAACTGCACCATAAAGTTCGGCTCCTGGACGTACGACCGCAGCAAAATCGATCTGATCCGCATTGCAGACAGTGTAGACCAGCTGGACTACTGGGAGAGCGGAGAATGGCTCATAACCAGCGCTGTCGCCACATATAATGTGAAGAAATACGAATGCTGCTCTGAGGAATATGCAGACATCACTTATTCCTTCATTATCAGACGACTGCCGCTCTTCTACACCATCAATCTCATCATCCCATGTCTACTTATTTTATGTCTAACTGTATTGGTTTTCTACCTCCCGTCTGATTGCGGAGAAGAAGTCACCATGTGCATATCTGTGCTGCTTTCACTCACAGTCTTCCTCTTGCTGATCACAGAAATCATCCCGCCGACCTCATTGGTGATTCCTCTGATTGCAGAATACCTGCTTTTCATCATGATTTTCATCATACTTTTCATAATAATCACTGTTTTTGTGCTGAATGTCCATCATAGGTCTCCAGACACTCACTCAATGCCCCAATGGGTCCGTAGGTTCTTCCTGGACGTAATGCCGAGGTTTATTTTCATCCAAAGACCTCAAATTTGGCAGAAAGATGCTAAAGGGGTGTGTGATGATGCTCAGAAGAGCAATAAGAGATGCGTTGATTCTAATTGGAAAAACAGAGAAATAAAGGAAGAGTCCATTCGCATGAAGGTCTATTCCTCATGCTTAAATGCAGACATGCATTCAATTAAATCACCATCTCAAGCGTACAATAACTCTACATGTCCAAAAATGAAGCTTCATAAGGGTCGATCACAGAGTGTTCAGGTAAATTGTGGGGAGCGAGATGTAAATCTGTGTAACAGCAGCACACGTTTTCGCTCTCGCAGCATGCAGTACTGTAGTCTGCATGAACATGAGCAGCAGACATCTGCTGTGTTTAATGCTGATAAGTTCTCAAACATCTGTAAAGTAATGACCAGCACTGGGGAAAACCCTTCTCACGCTACGCGTCTGGCTATTGAGGGAGTGCAGTACATCGCTGAATATCTGCGTGCTCAACATGCTGATTTATCTGTACGTATTTTTTGAGAGATTTGTAGGTTTGTTTGAGAGAAAGAAGTTTAAATGGTTAATTTACTCTAAATATCCCCCACCAAGGCATCCTTGTCCTGATAATAATATTTAAAATGCTAAAATGTATTTTAAATGTTTAAAAATACGTAATTGAGATTTTTAAAAAAAAATATTTTTATTGAAAATATTTTACAAAGATTTTTTTCTTCTGGAGAATATATATATATATATATATATATATATATATATATATATATATATAAATTTTTTTTTTTTTTTTTAGTTTGGCAATAAAAAAAAATGTTAAAATTCTAGATAAAAAAAATGTTAAAATTACTTCAATATTATTATTAGCTACTTTATTAAATGTAGTTTTTCAATGGGCTATTTGCACAGCTAGTGTTTTTCAGCCAATGATGAACTTCCGGTGAAAGCTTTATGTGACTATTTTCAATATCATAAGTCATCTTTTAACAGCAACATGTTGTAATGTAATTAAAATACATTCATTTAAATAGACATCAGCATCCATTTAGTTGCAGGGTTCAACGCTAAGGATTTTTTCTCCAGGGCCGATCGGGCCAGAGGTTGAGATTTTCACTTGCCCTGCCAAAATTTTCTCTGTCCCCACCAAAAAAAAAAGTTAATAGCTATTTCTTAGCAACATATTTTAAATAATGTGGCAAAATTATGTCGGTGAATCTAGAATTTAGGCGAGGCAGTGGCGCATTAGGTAGTACTACTGTCACTTCACAGCAAGAAGGTCGCTGGATCGAGCCTCAGCGTTTCTGTGTGGAGTTTGCATGTTGTCTCTGCGTTCGCGTGGGTTTCCTCCGGGTGCTATGATTTCCCCCACTGTCCAAAGAAATGTGGTACGGGTGAATTGGGTAGGCTAAATTGTCCATAGTGTATGAGTGTGTGTGTATGGATGTTTCCCAGAGATGGGTTGCAGCTGGAAGGGCATCCGCTGCATAAAAAACGTGCTGGATAAGTTGCCAGTTTTTTCCGCTATGGCGACCCCCAGACAAGAAAATGAATGAACTAATCTAGAATTTTAACATTTTAAAAAGGTTAATAAATGTATAATGAGCAAAATTCAAGATGTTATGCAATTGAAAGAGCAGTACAGAAAATGACATTGACAGCTTTTTATTTTTATTTCTCTAGTTTCTTAATTTTTTACACATGTAATTGTCTGCTTCTAGTACTTTAGAAACAGAAATTTTCTTTTAGCCTCATAGTTTGATGTTGCTGCCATGTTTCCATCTTTTCGCTGTACTTGTTGTGACCAGGGGCCTCATGTATCAACGCTGCGTACGCACAAAAACTTTGCGTACGCCAGGTTTCACGCTCAGAATCGCTCACATTTGGATTTACTAACAATGAACTGAACGTGGGAATGTGCGCAGCTTCACGGCAGCTTTCTGGCTGGCGTACGCACATTTTTTGTGCGTGTCTGTTTTATTTCCATTGGCGACTCCTAGAGGCAGTTGTGTTAAATTCCTCTCTACAAAGTGTCTGAGCCTTGCAATGGCAGCTGTATGAGACGGGTTCATATAGTAGGTATGTAAGGTTTCCATACCATACAGTTGACCATCTACACATTAAAGCGCAATTTGCAGCGGTCGCCTGTTTTCCCAATGTAATCTGAGCGATCTATCGCACGCACATCTGAAGATGAATTTGCATGCGTGAATCAGAAACATTTCCATTCAATAAATGTGCAAATAAAATATGATGCACAAACTTATTAATGATTCCTACTTGCCTTTCTCGTGATAAATAGTGGGCAAAATCTGATATGTAGCGGGGAAAAAAGAAAGAGTTCATCAGACGCTGGATTCGAGCCGAGTTTATGCTCGAATGTGTCAATACATGATCGCGTGCGTCTTACGAGGTGCGCCACTGAGACTGCAAAGGGTACTGCAACAGTTTACAGATATAAACCACACTATATCTTTTTTTAATGCACTCAGTGCGATGTTCAGACCCAACTGTGTTAACCGCATCAGCTAAACTCTCCCACTATATTTTTTTTCTTTTGTTGTTAATTCCGGAAAACAAACTTGCAAATAACACCGCTTTTCTCCGGTCTACCTCCGAAAGCAGCACCTCCAATTCACATTCTGTTCAAAGTTTCTCTTTTTGCTTGCTTTTGCTGTTGCTTTTTCGTTGGGTTTTTCCATTAGCATAGTCATTAGCATATTCATACGGGGGAGGAGGCGGGGAGGGGTTTTGTGCTCGTGCATGTTGTGCTCAGTTTCACGTTCATTCGGATGTACAAAAGAATATGCGTGAGATTCGGCAGTGTTTCATACATCTGAATTTTTTTCTGCGTACGCACAAAGCTGTAAATGTAAAAAATGTTTTAGTAAGATTTCGTACATGAGGCCCCAGGTTATGGAAAAAAATAACATGCTCATTGTTATTGGCCAATAGGGGCCAGTAACAATCCTGTCTACTGTCCCGAGCATCTTTCACGCTGGCCCCGGGCCACCGGGCAGTCCGTATTGTTGAGCCCTGGGTTGTTAAAGCGTAAAAAAGACTAAATTCCATTGAAAATATTAAAATAATTTCCCTATTTATTTGTTTTTTTATTATTTTACCAGGAATGTCCCATTGAGATGTAATATCTCTTCTACCAGGGATCTCTTCTAGCTATGGTCAAGATAGGCAGCACAGAACAAAAAAATAAAAAATACAAAACAAAACAAAAAATACATGTCAAAACACACAGACACACCAAAATAGTGCAAACATGTTAAAGCATGTGCACTCTTCTAAATTGACAGTTTTTAAAATATATTTTTAAATATAGCAATAGATGGTACGGATTTCATATGTAGTGAAATCTGATCTCATGAGGAAACGTAAGTAGTTTAGGTTTTGCCAGTTTAGTGGCTAATTTGACGTACGAGTTCAGTCGTATAAAAATGTACGAATTTAAAAAGAAGGTGTGGCACTTAACCACCTCTAACCCCAACCGTCATTGGATGATGAGCAAATCGTACTAAATTGTACGAATTAGATCAAACGAATTCATACGAATTAGCCACTAAATCAAAAAGTTACGAATTGCCGTGGGATTGCGTTGTTAGTATATGTTGAAGCTCATTCCATACATTTGGAGCATACTTAGATAGTGCAGATCTTAAGTAAAAGTATATCTGCAGATCTGGTAAGTATTGTAAGTATTTGAACAGTACTCCAACATATTAGATATATCCTGTGGTAATTTACCAACTAAAGCTTTAAAAATTAAAACTAAAATATGTTGTTTTCTCCTTAACTGTATTGAGGACCATTCTGTTAGTTTATATAAATTACAGTGATGTGTGCGTGCACTTGAACCAGTGACAAATCTTGAGGCACTATGATTAACAATATCCAATTTTTTAAAAAACATTCAGAGGTGTGTGATAAAAAGTATATCACCGTAATCCAGTACTGATAGAAATGTACTCTCACCTAAACGTTTTCGAGCTGCAAAGGGGAAACATTTTTTAAAACAAAAATAAAAACCTGATCTGTGTGCCATTTATTCATTCATTTTCTTTTCGGCTTATTCCCTTTATTAATCTGGGGTCGCCACAGCGGAATGAACCGCCATGTGCGCCATTTAAAGTTTTAATATTAAAAATGTGCATTGAAAATCTGGATTTTAAAGACATGGCGCAGATAATTTATTGCAGTGCTTCTTGTTTGGTCTGATACCCACTTGTATCTCAGCCAGGTAGTGAATATCTTTTCTTTTTTTTTTTTTAATGAAATTAGATCTTAAACGTGGCGATTTTGTATGGGATGACAATTGACCGGAAACCCCGAGGCTGGCTGACTGAAAATGAAAGTCTGTGTGCACATTACAGAACCACTGTTGTGTAAAAACTTGCCTAATTAACCTAATTTATCAAATAACAATAATATATTTTAATAATATATCAATAATAATTAATTTTAATTAACATTTTTAAACATCCAACATTTTTTTTTTTTTAATTATTTAATTTTTATTCTTTCATTGCAGGTAAAAGAGGAGTGGAAGTATGTGGCTATGGTCATCGATCGCCTCTTCTTGTGGATGTTTGTATTAGTGTGCATTCTGGGTATTGTAGGCCTCTTCATCCCTCCATGGTGGGCTGGAATGATTTAATAATCACCCCCATAAAGACAGAGTCATTAAAACCACAGCTATTGTTAAAGAACAAAAGGTTATTATCAAATATTATATTATATTAAAGTTCATTTGTTAATGATGTTGTGTTTGGTTTATGGATGATTAAATCTGTTTTGTGGAAGCTAAATGTGTATTAAATATATTTATAATAATATTATTGTGTGTTTTGTAGTATTTAAGTAGGTACATTTCTATTTAAGTATAGGCTAAAAAGTAACTTCAGTTGATTTATTTTCTTCATCATCATTCTTTCATTCATTTGGCTTAAAGAAGGAATGAAAGTAGTAGTCCCTTTATTTATCAGGGGTTGCAACAGCGGAATGAACCACCAACTTATCCAGCAAATGTTTTACATAGCGGATGCCCTTTCCAGCTGCAACTCAGTACCGGGAAACACCCATAACCAATCATACACTACAGCAGTTCATCAATTCCCCTAAAGCACGTGTTTGGACTGTGAGGGAAACCGGTGCACCCGGAGTAAACCCACGCAAACACATGGAGAACATTCTAACTCCACACAGAAATGACACAGAAAATGACAACTGACCCAGTTGGGACTCGAGCCAGCGAGCCAGCAACCTTCTATGAGGCGACAACCACTGATCCACTGTGCTGCCCCATCATCATCATAATTATTTAAAGATGCTAAACCTTGTGCATGTTGTTATTTTGTGGACAAATAAACTATAATCTTCATTGCAGACGAAAATTGAACAGTGTAAACATCACAACGTGTGCACATCGAACGTACAACCCATCAGTGTGTGAACTACATTTCCCACAATGCCCTAAAATCGCCAACAACTTCCCAGGAAGTGTTTATCTGACCGCTGCCAACATGGATTTAACAAAACAGCAAACCCGAGTGTCATGATTCTCTTCTGATCCCCTCAATAGTAGATATTGTATAAACTATCGGGCTGTGTATGTTTAATCTCCTGAAGAGCTCATGACTGCTCAGTGAGCGCTAAAGCTAGGCTAGGCTAGGCTAACAGTACTCAGTGTTTGTGATGTGAGCTGCTCAACAGTGTTTTTGAGGATGTACACTTTATTATCGGGCCTCTACAAGTACATGTTTCAGAAGGACGAGTATTGTATCCTCATCCTTGGCCTGGACAATGCAGGAAAGACGGTAAGACTGCGAATAAGCTGTTCACTCTTAGAAGTCTTAATAAAACGGCTATAAAACTGGTAATTAGGCAAGTTATTGTATAGCGATGGTTTGTTCTGTAGACTATCGAGAAAAAAAAATTGCTTCAAGGGGCTAATAATTTCGTCCCACAAATGTTTTTAAAAAAATTAATAACTGCTTTTATTCTAGCCGAAATAAAACAAATAAGACTTTCTTCAGAAGAAAAAATATTATCAGATATACTGTGAAAATTTCATTGCTCTGTTAAACATCATTTGGGAATATTTAAAAAAGAAAATAAAAATCAAAAGGGGGCTAATAATTCTGACGTCAACTGTATATATATATACATATATATATATATATATATATATATATATGTATATATATATATATATATATATATATATATATATATATATATATATATATGTATATATGTGTGTGTGTGTGTGTATGTATATATTATATGTATATATTATATGTATATGTATATATTATGTGTATATTTAATTATGTATATATTTATATATATATACACAGTTGCAGTCAGAATTATTAGCCCCCCTAAATTATTAGACTGCTTGTTTTTATTTTCCCCAATTTCTGTTTAACGGAGAGAAGATTTTTTTTTCAACACATTTCTAAACATAATAGTTTTAATAACTCATCTCTAATAACTGATTTATTTTATCTTTACCTTGATGACTGTTAATAATATTTTACTAGATATTTTCAAGACACTTCTATACAGCTTAAAGTGACATTTAAAGGCTTTACTAGGTTAATTAGGTTAACTAGGCAGGTTATGGTAATTAGGCAAGTTATTGTATAACACTGGTTTGTTCTGTAGATTATCGAGAAAAATATATCTTGAAGGGGCTAGTAATTTTGTCCCTAAAATGGTTCATAAAAAATTAAAATTTGCTTTTATTCTAGCCGAAATAAAACAAATAAGACTTTCTCCAGAAGAAAAAAATATTATCAGATACACTGTGAAAATTTCCTTGCTCTGTTAAACATCCTTTGGAAAATATTTTAAAAAGAAGAAAAAAAAATCGAAGGGGGCTAATAATTCTGACTTCATATATATATATGTGTGTGTGTATGTGTATGTATATATGTATATATATATATATATATATATATATATATATATATATATATATATATGTATATATATTGTTTCAATTTGAAATTTATTCATTTATTTCATTTATTTTTTATATTGTATTGCACCTCTTTATTTATTATTGTTATTTAATTGTATATTTCCACATGCATAAAATCCTGTTTGTAAACTGAATGAAATACACACTAGCTATGATGTTAAGAAGTGCAACACAATTTGCCTTCAGTTTGTTTTATCTCAAGTCCTCATTTCTTATTTTTTTTGCAGACCTTTCTGGAACAAACAAAAACCAGGTTCAGCAAGAACTACAAGGGCATGAACCTGTCGAAGATCACCACTACTGTGGGCCTCAACAGTGAGTCAAGCTGCAGCACAAATGGAGAAGCTTTTATTGGTGGAAAGACTGGTTTTGACTGGTTTCTGCTGTGTGTTTCAGTCGGCACCATTGATGTGGGAAAAGCTCGTCTGATGTTCTGGGATCTCGGAGGACAAGAGGAGCTCCAGTCTCTGTGGGATAAGGTCAGACACATTCACTGACATCTAAATGTGAGCTGATGTTCAATTGCTAGGTTTTCATCCCAAGATGCGAATTAAAATTATGTGCAAAATTGGAATATTGCATAAAAAATTTGGATGTAGTGCAGCGTTTCCATTCAGTTGAAATCAAAAGAGAACAAAATCATCACTACCTGGTAAACTTGTACAAATCTGAGACAGAGACGTGTTATTTAGTGCATTGGGAGAATCCACTGTGATGTTTTTGCTCCTCTAATAAATGAGTTGAGCCTAAGAAGATGTTGGAATATCAAGCAAATTCTAAACAAGCCAATTCCATGCATGTTCAATAAGAAAAGGTCTGGAGAGTGTTTTCTTCAATGCCAAAAATATTAGTAATTTATTAGATTCAAATGAATAATTCAATGACAGAGCTCTGGGTTACATTACCCCAATGCAATACAAGAATTACATTCAAGAGGTTCGCAAGCAACTTACATTTCCTGACTCCACACACATACACAACTGATAATAACAGGTGGAGTTTTGGTTTAACGCCACTGATCAGTCATTCTGCAGTCCCTTGGCTCTTTGTAACCCCTATACATACTTCCCCTTTCTGCAACCCTTCTCTGCATACCAGAACTGAACAATTACGTGCATCTTTAATATATTTCATAACTTCTACAAAGATCATGCTTCTTGTGACATGTCCAGACAGCAGTCTGGAACAAACCTAAATTCATTCTTATTCTGCTTTTTCCACTAGTCAGCAGTTCTTCTAAAAAGTATGCAGCACAGTAAAAAAGAAGAAGTGTGTCTGGTCAAGATGTGTTATAATACAATAGAAAAGATTGATTAATCTGTTGTTAGTCTAAACATTTTTCTATTAAAATTAAAGACACAAAAGTAATAAAAAAATTCCTTTTTTCCTCCAAAGATGAAGACTGAACGCGGTAAATGCAGTGGCTTTTGGAGGCGTGAGACGGGAGCGCAGACAGATGTTCAAAACCGTTCTGGAGGGAATAATAATAATAATAGAGGAATAATAATACCAAAGCACTGTGCTGAAATTACTGCGTGATACAGGAACACACTGATCTGTTAATAATGTGGTTTTGTTGTGTTTCTCTTCCAGTATTACGCAGAATCTCATGGTGTGATTTACGTCATCGACTCCACGGATGAGGAGCGGCTGGGCGAGTCCAAAAACGCCTTTGGTGAGTTTTGCTGCAACATGAAATATCACCTGTAAAGTCATCAGCTTTTCTTTCATATCATTGTGATTGCTTTATTTTTTATATCAGCTATTGTCATGCAGAACCTGTTTTACTCCATTAGATTTCATCGGTTGCTAAACAGCATGTATCTAATGTAGGTGCGATTACTTAATCAATAGTTTGATTGTTGTTATTTGATGTAATTGCAGATATGTTAGATGATTGACGTAATTTAGTGGTGTAAATTTCAATGTATTTTGACAGAGAAATTTGAGCTATTAATAATTCAATTTTATTGTTGTTTATTTTTTATTATTTTTTATTATTTTTTATTAATGTTTTTGGCAACATTAATTCTAGAAATGGGGAAAAAAGTACAGAAATAGTCAATATCTGCCCTTCAAAAAATACTTATTATATTATATTATGTTATGTCATATTATATTATATTATATTATATTATATTATATTATATTATATTGTTTTATATTAAAATATATTATATTAAATTATATTATATTATAGTAAATAGTTTTATATTATATTATATTTTATTATTTTATTTTATATTTTATTATATTATTTTATATTATATTATAGTAAATTATATTATATTATATTATAGTAAATTATTTTATATTATATTATATTATATTATATTATATTATATTATATAAATAATTTTCACTGCATTAAAGGAAAACATTTAAGCCTTTTTGGTATTTTTTATTTAATTATTTTATATAATTAAAACATTTTAGGCTTACACTGTCACTAACAGTTGCAGGACCCAATTATAATAATGGTGATTTATTTCCTCATTTTTAGGCAAGGCAAGACAAGGCAAGTTTATTTTATGACGACAAATCAAGTATAGATGGTGTCTTCTTTTCAAAACTTCCTGCAAAAGAAATCCCTGAATCTGAAACCCTGTTTCTAATGCCAAGTTCACACCAAACTCAGAGATATTGCTTAATTCGTTCTAAATTACTCGCATGATGTTCTTCATTCATTCATTCATTTATTCATTCACATCAATGTTTCTTTTTGTGCTAGCGACGAAAGAAAACCTTGCGAGTTTAGACGAAGATATAACTTCATTTGTTGCTTTATAACTGTTAATAAAGTTTCAAAAACGCCACAAAGCCAAATGCTGATGTGTTTGGGTTCATTGCACCCTCCAGAGACACACAAACTGTGAATTTCACAGCCTCCTTGTGAAACTGCCTCTGGATGACAGCTGCTTCCAGCATTACTTGAGTGTGTCAGGTGCCCAGTTTGATGACCTGTTAATACTGCCACCTGCTGGTCAGATCAGAAACATTTTTGTTCTCCCTACCTGCCACATCACACCCAGAGGCCCATGCAGCTAATAGACAAATTGTTGCTCAATTTTTATTTTTTATTAATGGCAAACACACATCCCACTTTCTGCACCATTTGCATAGCCTGGCAGATATTCACCTCTTCATGCACGTTTGCAATTCCTTCCAGCGCCCAGGGAGCAATTAGGGATTTGGTGCCTTGCTCAAGAGTACCACAGCTGGGTATCAAAGCATCTTCAATTCCTGCCAGGACTTGTAAACTTTCAATTACAAGTCCAACACCTTAACCATTTGGTCACCGCTGCCCATTAATGTTTTTTGCCGCTTAATGATCTGACCTGATGTTTTATCCTGATTCAGAGAAGATGATCAGCAGTGAAGCTCTGGAAGGAGTTCCTCTCCTGGTGCTCGCCAACAAACAAGATGTGGAGGTAAGAGTTCCAGACCATCTGATGGACATGAGTGAGAATGAAGATTAAATGGATAGTCCATCCCAAAAATAAAATTCACTCACTATTTACTCACTCATGTGCTTTTAAACCTTTATAAGCTTCATTGTTCTGTTGAACACAAAAGAAGAAAGTGTTAGAAACCCAGGCTCATAGCCAGCCGGGTGAAAGGGTGGTTCTTTTTTCTCACAAAATATGGACCTTTTTGCAGTTATTAGCCTGATTTTCTATTTAATTATGATGCTTTAATACTTTTTAGGCACTATTTTTTGCTGGATTAGCTTGTCAGATTGTCATCAACCACACTATTTGATGTACCAAAAACATTTCCTAAAGATTTAGAAGAAAAAAAAAAAGAGTAATGAGAATAATACTTTATTTTTTGTTCAAATACAAATTTATTACATCATATATCATTAGGAAAAAACTATGCTGTTCAAGTTTTAAATTAAAAAATAGCCTATTGTCATTTATTAGGCAAACACAAACTAGCCAGAACTTTCAACGTTCCTCAGTCACGCTGACGCAACAGCCAAATAGGAATCTGCTTGCTCTTAAAGCCTTCTTGGATGATTATTTTCACAATTTATTATAGCACAGCAGTACAAATAGGACAAATGAGCTTGTATATGGGACAAAATCTGGGCCTTTGTCAGTGAGGGCCAACCACCCGAAACCCCCTGGCTACGGGCCTGAAACCTGTAACCATTGACCTCCATGGTTGCAAAACAAATAATATAGAAGTCAATGGTTACAGGTTTCCAACATTTTTCTAAATACATTCTATTGTGTTCAACAGACACTCAACAAGTTTGTGATGAGAGAAAGTTGAATAAATGATAGAATTGATCCGGTTTGGGTGAACTATCCCTTTAAAAACTGAAAACTGCATTACTCTGCATCCGCCTCCAGGTGGAGCTGTGACTTTACTTGTGATTTACAGTCCTGCTTGTGTTTTGTCCTGCAGAATTGTCTGTCTGTCCCTGACATAAAGACGGCGTTCAGCGACTGTGCTCCAAAAATCGGCAAAAGAGACTGTCTGGTGCAACCCTGCGCCGCTTTATCAGGGTACGTCATCTGTTCCTCAGATTATGGAGGATACACAGAAAACAACTAAGAGGACATTCACTAGGGATGGCTGAAATGGGCTTATGAATATATGCAGGATTCCCACTTTAAGCCAAATATCAAATTCCCTGACTTTCACTGACTAAAAGCTGAATTTTCATGATCTATAATAAACAGAAATAAAGTCTGCTGTGGTGCTTTGCATATTATAAAAATAGTTTAAGCTTGGAAACTCGTTTCAGGACTTTAATAGCCACTATAAGAACAACACTAAATCATTCACCTTAAGTTTTGGAAAACTTCTGTGGTACTTACTGTTTCTTATTGCTCCTTAACCCATAAAGACAGAGACAGCCACCCGCGGCTAAAAATAAGTATTGTTCTTTAATGCTTAATAACTTTTGATCCGCTAATCAGATCCGTACAATTCAAAGATTGGCATAAAGAAGAGAGTCTCCGCTTTCCATCGCTGTAACACATTAGATTCACGGACTGGGCTGGGCCAAAATCAGTGTGGTTACGTTTAGACAACTATGATTTGACAAAGGAACACTCCAGGCTTGTGTCTTTGAACAAATCAGACATGATGCATTGATGCATTGTCCCTCCTCCATGCCCAGATTGGTTCAAACTCGCACTCGCTCTCAACTAATAAGCATAGGTTTCCCTTTGTGGACCAACAATCCGCTATTTGAACAACCCGGAAAGAGAGATAGGCTGTACATTTACGCACGGCTAAATAAAACGCAAAAAAAAAAGTTTCAGATTGCATGAAATTGTTCTCATACTAAGTACTTTTGCATGCATAACAGCACAAAAGCATGACAAAACAGTGACAAAGCAAAGACGAAGTGCTGGTCTTGCCGTTTTCAAAGGACTCAAATCAGGGACAGACTGCACAAAAATTTAGCCCTGGCACTGTAGCCACACCAGCCCACATTACCACACCGACATAGCCACCCACAGACACGCACATTTACTATTTATTTGGGTGTACAGATGGTGAAATATTATGACATTCTTGCCAGATTTTGATTTGATTGTCTGCGTAACCTCGGATTGGGTCGGCCCATCTTGAAACCAGGTGGCAGTTGCCGATTGAGCCAAATGCTTAACATTTATTATTATTATTATTATTATTATTATTATTATTATTATTATCATCATCATATTATCACATCTAGCAAGAGATAAAAGCTGTCTGCACTTAAAAACAATACATATAAAAAAAAAAAACTGACCGGCCCACATTTAAAAATTGGTCCGGCCCTTCTGGCATTTGCCAGAATTGCTAGATGGCCAGTCCGCCTCTGACTCAAATGACGGTGCGGCTGTTTGTCTGCAACCCAAAAGTTGAGAAGCAGCAGGGTCAACACCATATGCTGGCACATAAAAGGATGGTCCATATTGAATCTAGTTTAGTTATGAAACTATTTATAGTATAGTAAATGTTTATATGTATTTTTTTTTACTGAGGATGTGCACCATGTTTATTTGGACTTTGACGCATTATTTCTTATTTTCTTATCTTTTCTGTTCATTGTAAGTGGTGTTGTTTATGGTAACTGAAAATATATTATTTGTAAAAAGTCAAATTTGCTGCACTGTTCTGTTATTTTGTAACAGTTTTTTCTGTTTAGTTCATTCCCAGAACTTTTGGACAAATATACTGTCAGTAAATAAATGCATTTTTTTCCCCCATTGAAAAATGCATTAGAATAACATTGAAATAAACTTGCTAAAAGAATGGTGGATGTAGACAACATTTATTTTGGAAGTAGAAAACATCATAGCATGTATTTCTAAAGATAAAAAAAACAAACTTCATAAGGTTTTGTTTGTAATAACTAGAAAATGCCACTTTTTTAAAAACCGTTTCTGGAAAATTCTGGAATATTTTCTGTCTGTTCACATGTTTTTGGACCAAAAAATATTTTAGAATGGACCTTTAAATGATACAGATTGAAACTTCAGGTTCTCCTGTTTAAAATAATGTATGACACTCGAGGCTGACTGCTAAAATAACAATAATAATATAGGCTCATTAGGTGCCCACAAAATACCTCTAGGTCTTTAAGGGTTAAATGTATATTATCCTGGCATGTTAGCCTACTAGGAGACCTACTATGCAAAAATAACATTTATAAGGGGTTTAGGCACAGTTGTGTGTCAGCAGTGTGTGAATATCTCCAGCCTCTGATGGTAAACAATAATTAATTGTATTGTTTATAATCAGACTTGATGAATGAAACACTTTGATTGACATTCTCCCTCTGTACGTGTCATCAGAAGGGGAAAGCCCCGCCCACTAGTGCCCATCTCTCCCTCATTAGCATAAACAGCAGCCCTGAGTAAGAAGCAGCCGTCTGTCCATTAGCCATTAGAGTGTTTGAGCTGCTGAAGATGCTGTCAGCATAGACTAAGAGGATTATAGATGTGGAGATGTGACAGGAGCGACATAGACTGACAGAAGCATGAAGCACACATGCACACCTGAGCAGCACTGACAACACGCACAGGCATTTGTCGCTCCGCCCTCTTATTGAAAAGAGCACAATCTCATTTGCATTTAAAGCGACGGTCACCAAAACACCACAATTAGGATTAAAGCCTAAAAGTTTCAGAGAGCTAGAGAACATCATCTGTGTGCTATTTTGAGCGTGACATACTTCACACACACACACACACACACACACACACACACACACACACACACTCTAGAGACAGCAGAGACGCAGTTTACATCTTGTCAAAAGGGGCAGAATAGATCTTCTTTAATAGGTACAGTAAACTTGTGGAGATATTAGTTAAATTTACATGTTTTGCATGTGATGTATACTCTGATTTATTTGATGTTGTGTTTATTTGATTTGTAATGCATGTGTGTGTGTGTTGTTGTGTTTTTCAGGCAGGGCGTGAATGACGGCATTGAATGGATGGTCAAATGTGTGATCCGGAACATTCACCGTCCACCCAGACAAAAAGACATCACATAAAACAGCTTCTTGTGTGTGTGTGTGTGTGTGCGTGTGTGTGCGTGCGTGCTTGCGTGTGTGTGTTAGTTACGGTGTATGTTAGTGTGAGTATTTGTGCATGTTATTGTGTGTGCATGCTTGTCTGTTTGTGTTTGTGTGTGTGTGTATGCATGAGTGTTAGTCTATTAGTGTGTGAGTTAGTATGTGTATACATATGTTTGTGCATGTTAATGTGTGTATGTGTACGTGTGTCTGTTGATGTGTATGTCTGTCTGTGTGCATTAAGTGCGTGCATATGTTATTGTGTGCGCGCGCGCGCGAGTGTTAGTGTATGGGTGTGTGTTACTATGTGTGTGTATAACTGTGTTAGTGTGCGTGTAAGTGTCTGTGTGCGCAGAAGTGCGAGTGTAGTGTGTATGTTATTGTGTGCGTGCGCATGAGTGATAGTGGATGGGTGTGTGTTAATATGTGTGTGTCTGTGTGTATACCAGTGTTATTGTGTGTGGTGTGTGTGTATGTGTATGAGTGTTAGTGTATGGGTGTGTGTTAATATATATGCGTGCGTGTGCATGGGTGTATCTGTGTGTGCGCGTGCGGTCATGTATCTGTTTGTGTGCATGTGCCTGTGTGCATATGTTATTGTGAGTGCGAGTGTAGTGTGTGAGTGTGAGTGTTAGTGTATGGGTGTCTGTGTTAATATGTGTGTGTCTGTGTGTATGCGTGTGTTAGTGTGTTTGTGTACTACGGGCATGTATCTGTTTGTGTGTATGTGCTTGTGTGCTTGTGTGTGTGTGTGTGAGTGTGTGTGCGCGCGCATGATTATTAGTGTATGGGTGTGTGTGTGTGTGTGTGTGTGTGTGTGTGTGTGTGTGTGTGAGTGTGTGTGCGCGCATGATTATTAGTGTATGGGTGTGTGTTAATATGTGTGTTTTTTTTCTGTGTGTATGCCTGTGTTAGTGTGTGTGTGTACGTGTGGGCATGTATCTGTTTGTGTGTATGTGCCTGTGTGCATATGTTTTTGTGTGTGTGTGTGTGCGCGCGTGTGTGCACGTGCGCGCGCGTGTGTGCGTGCGCGCGTGTGTGTGCGCGCGCATGAGTGTTAGTGTCTGTCTATACCTGTGTTAGTGTGTGTATGTGTGTCTGGTAGTGCGGGCGTGTTTCTGTTTGTGTGTATGTGTCTGTGTGTGCGTGTGTGTTCTCTTACTACAGTAAATCTGAACACATGTAAGTTATGACATTATTTTTGGGTGATATACTTGCAGACCTCCAAAGTTTGATATCAATGCTGTGACGCAGACATTGTAGATATTTATACACTAAACTGCTGTGTGTGTGTGTGTGTGTGTGTGTGTGTGTGTTTGTGTGCGTGTGTGTTTGGTTTATCTCTGCTACAATCTCAGTTTTTCTTTAATCTGATTGATCCTGATAGATTAACTCAGCACACATAAAGACATTCCCCCTGTATAATTTGTTTGTACGATCAAAATAATCGCCGTTTGTAATCACTGATCAGTTGTGTAATAAAGCGCGGAGAGGACTGAAGCGTCTCTGTGTGTTTAATTAGCGTGACAGATGTCTGTGCAGGAAAAGCCTGGTTCTCCCAGCTCTCCTCTATTGATCTGTCGTCTAATAAGCTGAATGCATTTTGCATGAAGGCAGCAGAGATCAATAAACACTCCTGATGTGGTGTGTGTTACTACATACATCTGTGAGCTGATATTGAAAACACATGACTCATAAGAAAACATGCGCATAATAGCTGAGTAGGAGTAACTTTTTATTCGATAAGATGCACATAAACTACAATCAAACCCTTTGATCAAACAAACTCCAGTATGCACATAGAAAAGTCATGTGATTTGGTAATAGAGATCATGTATGGAATCAGTTTAGTCTCAAAAGAAATTCATGCAAAAGACACAATGTACACATGCGTAGCCAAATTCACATGCATAAAATCAAATTCACGTGCGTAAAATATTTATTTATATTCACAAAAAATTTTCACGTGCTCAAAATAAAAATACATTTTCATAAAATACGTTTCACAAATGCAAAACACCATTTGCAAATGTTTAAGAGTGTACAAAAAGTTTTGAATGTTTAAAACTTGCGAGTTTATCCTGAATGAGAATGTGCAAATCCTCTTTCACGTACGGCTCCCCCTGGATACGTGTGTGTGTATTATTGAGACTTTCCTGCCAGAGGCAGGGTAACTCGTACCTTTCAGCCAATCAGATGAGAGCTGTAGTCAATAGCCCCTTTCACACAGTGATACCTGTAAATATCCGGAAAATTTCCGGAACGACTTTACCGGTATGTTTAAAAAAGCGCTGTTCACACAGGCAAGGACGTTACGGAAATTTTCCGGAAAAGAGCATTCACACATCCATTCCAAAATACCGGTAAATTCTGACATCATTCACCACAAATGAGCTTTAAACGGCTGCGCTTGTGTTTGTAAACATTTGACTAAATTACAAACTCTGTGGATGATCAATATTGTGAACAACTTTCTCAGGATCACTTTCGCATGTCGAGATGTTCATAATATGTGCGTGTGCAGGCGCTCACAGGCTGTTTCACAGACACACGAACGTAAACAAACAACGGCTTATCATAAGCATCTCATCGATGATTATTTACACAGTTGGCATTAAGAAGAACATATAAACGTGATCTGACTAACTTCTAGCAGCTAAATGTGTCTGGAAAAATATTCAAAGGCTTTTATCCTCACAAACCGCGCGGACGTAAATGCGTCTGACTGTTGTGATTGGCTAAAGCAGACGTCTCACGTCAGCACGTTCTAGACGTGCACGCGCTTATTACGGGAATCTTCCTTCTGCATTCACACAGCGCAGCATTCCGGCAAATTGCCGGTAATGTTACAACTTCTCTTTCTGGAAAATAGCCAGAACGAATTTACCGGTATTTTCAAAAAGGACCTGTTCACACATACAACCTTTCCGGAAAATTGCTGGCAATTTTCCGGAAAGGTCTGTATGTGTGAAAGGGGCTAATGACACCAACTCTGCGCTTCATTTGCGCAGACTGTTTCTCTCCAGCATGGCGAATGGAGAAAACAGCAGTCGCAGTGGCACTTTTTTTCATTTATTTAATTATTTGACCACATCCTCACTCTTTTTATCCTTTATTTTTCAGCAGTTCCGCTCTTCTTATTTATTGTCTCGCAGCCTCACGAGCAGATTTTCACCTTCTGGGAAAAGGAGATAAATAAGTTTACTACAGCTCGTGATAAGCAATAAAACACTTAGTTTATGTTGTCATATTTTCATTGTAAACTTTTTAGTTTCTAGTTTAATATAAACAAAAATATACTCATAAGCACCATTTAAAATGATTATTTATATAATTATTACGGAATGATAGGGTATATTCTACATATTATATTACTAACACACGCAGCGATCTCAGATCAGTTTATCCAGACATTCTAATCTGATTCGCGAACTTGTTTGAAGAACCAAAATAACGAGAGATCAGTTATCAAGATTAAAAGATCCGGGATCTGCCAAATAATCTTAGATCATTTAAGCGAGGTACGAAGAACGGACCCCAGGGGCCTGGAGGATCAACCAACTCTGAGTAAACTTAAGCTCTGAGTTGATTTACCAAGAGATTAAAAACTGTTTCAGAAAAGCTGATCTGAGTTAGATCAATCAACTTTGAGAAGACCAACTGAGAGTTAAGCATGCACACCGCAACTATAAAAAGGCATTATCAATGGAGCGCAGATATTGCAAGTCACTATGGTGACATCTAAAAAAAAAAAAAAAGTTATAGCAAATATGACCATATATTTTAAAAAGCAGCGACAGCTAGCTTGGCAAAGCAGCTTTTCAAGTTAACGCACATGTTTACGTTTAATGGGCTTTATTTTGACGATCCATGCGCATACTGCATAGTGCAAAGTGCAGGGCGCAAACGCTTTCAGGGCGTGTCTGAATCCACTTTTGCTAATATAAGGATGGAAGAATCTGCTTTGCGTTGTGGCGCATGGTCTAACAGGGTTGAGCTTATTCTCTTATAGGATTATAGGTGTGTTTTGAGAATAAACCAATCAGAGGCTCATCTCCCATTCCCTTTAATAGCCAGTTGCATCGCGCCATGGTGCATTTGCTATTTGCTTGACGTAAAGTCTTACTATATGTACAAATATAAAAAAAAAAATATATATATATATATATATATATATATATATATATATATATATATATATATATATATATATATATTCAGCACTCATTGTTTAAAATGTGCTACGTTCTGTTATTTCAGTGAATATAATGTTTGCCCTTTATTTAGTTATTCAAATTTAATACATTTTAATTTATTTCATTTACTTTTCCATTTATTCCTTAAACTATTCATTCATTAAATCCTTCGATAACCCTGTTTATGTGTTTAGAGTTAGAGATTTAGAGTTCTCTGGAATGCTTGATCCTAAATAAGGTATATTAATCTCCAATAATAACCAGTAATATTAACATCATATGCTCATCCTGACACTAGATATGAAAGTAGCAGTAATAATGCAATGTAATGTAAAGTAATAATCATGATAATGTACATTTAACTGATTGTTTAGCAGAATAAAATCCTTTAATCTTATACAACTGGTTTTATAAAGCTGGCTGGATGTGCATTATCCCTTACTTGTTGGAGATTTGGACTCAAAGCTGAATTAAAACAAAACAACCAAATACAACAACAGATACACATCCAATAACAGCAACATATCTAAGGAAAGGGCAGTTAAAATACCATCATCTACAGAATTTTATTGTTTTAAATAACTAACAGATGCAGGTAAAAATGACCAGCGTTCCTAAAAACCGGTGACTCATGTTGAAGTGATGTTTAAAAAGAGCATCTGAACTCAGGCTTTCCCTTGTGTGGTGGTTTTAGGACAGCGGGATAAATAAATGGAGCTGTTCTTCGCACGCAAGCCTTCAGCAGAGGCTTCAGCCATGAATTGTGTATGAAGGGTTGCGTAACAGCAGATCTGCAGTGGCACTTTTGGGTTACGCAGCAAAAAAAAAAAAGCTGTATACTTTTTACAGTATTTGTCTTATTACTATTATGAAATATTTTTACTTAAACAGGGTTTCTGCAGGGTCTTAAAATGTCTTAAATCTCAAAATCCAAATTTTAGGCCTTAAAAAGTCTTTAATGTACTGAAATATTGTGTTGTAGGTCTTAATTTTCTTTTATTGCTACCCAATCTGGCTAAAACCCATACATTCACCAACAATCATCTCAATAAAACTTTCAACTTTTTATTTAAAAGGTCATTTTTAGCTTTATTTATCATAATGGTTTAATTATTTTCCTTACAGTAACATTTGTTTAAACATTCTCCATGTATTTTCTGCTGAGGACACTGACCTGGACAGATTGCTGTGCATAGATTTAGTTTATTATATATATATATATATATATATAACAGCAATATCACACTCGTAGCAGTGTGCTATGGCTGTATATCAGCACTGGTGGGAGGCGTGCGGCCTCGTGCCTTACCGCCCCACCAGTGCAGATGTATAGCCATAGCACACTGCTACGAGTATGATAATGCATTGCATTTATACAACAGCTCCACAGATCTTGTACATAAAAAAAGAAAATCAAACGCAGAGAGTCTAAAACCCTTTTGTATTAGGAACT